CTACAATTTAATTTTTTTTTCAATTTTTTTGGAAATACTTGTTGTCAAAAAGTGCATACACCTTGTCTTTTGTGTGATACATCGCATTTAAAATGTGACATCGTTTTTTTTTTAATAATTTATTTCAAACAAAACAAAATATCTCATCCATCTTATATGTGTTGCTACTTAAACTTTGATGTAGAAGAAGTCTAATGAGTAAGCGGGGGGGGGGGGGGGTGTTCTGCTACTTGTGGGGACGACAAATCAGTCCAACGATAGCCAGGTGGATATACTTCCAGTGCTGGGTACTAATTAAAGCTGAGTGTACTAGGGGTCACCCTAAAACCTAGTGGTTTCACGATTCGCAGTTTTCATTAAAGACGAATTGTTTGCAGTATTGTGTATAGCATGCCTTTTAAAAAGAAATAATAGGCAGAATTAGTAAAATATAAAATTCATATTTTTATGGTGTTTTAAATATAACCTATATTATTACTAATAATACTACTACTACTATTTTATTATTTTTATTATTATTGATTTATTATCATTATTTTTTACTATTATTAATTTTTTATCATTATAAATTTATTATTTTATTATAAATTATTATTATTAATTCATTATGTTATTAGTTTAATATTACTATTATTAATTCATTGCATTACTAATTTATTATTATTATTAATTCATTATATAATTAATCTATTATTATTATTTGCTTATTTTTATTTTTATCATTATTTATTATTATTATTATTAGTTTAATATTTCGCTTTTAGACAGATTAAAATATTTAGGTGTGTGAGAGAAGCACTTTGTACATTCGCATCAGACGCTGTGTGAAACACACGGCCCAAGTTTAAAATGACTGTGTTTTTCTGCTTGCTTGAAGGCGTGCTCCCAGTTTTCGCTGTTTCATCCTTTCATTCATCGTCCCTCGTTATCTGAGATACCTGCGGTGATTATCGTCGGGTCTGTAGCCGAGCAGAAGTAAAAAGACATATTTTTCTCTCCCTTTTCCACTTCGTCTTTGCCGTGCAAAGATGGCGCTGGAAATAACTACAACAGAATGTATGAACTTCCGGCTCTTTCGGCGAGCTATGGCGGCCAGGGGGTATAACTAGGTACGAACTGTCATTCTGAATTCTCTCCCCTGTCGCGATCGGAAAGCCGATCTTTAGCGTCAAATGTGATGAACTAAAGATATGGTTAGATAAAGAAAAAAAAAGAAAAATATAATGTACAATATATTGTATTGTCTTTATAGAAAAATTAGATTAGATTATTAAAATGGACTGAATTCTCACGACAATAAGCGGCATAAAAAAGATGACAAGTGATATTTTAATTTTTATAATTTTTTTTTTTTTTATGAATAAAAAAAAAAGTAATGAGAAGCTACATAAAAAAAAATACAATTTTAAATCGAGATTTCAAAGAGATTGCTTCTGCTATGTGTAAACTGACTCCGCAATTATCTTCTTACACCTGAATTTGTTTCTTTGTGTGTGCGGACGTACAAGAGACGAATCTGTTTCAGCACAATAGGATGTAGGATTGACTTATCAGCTGACCCATGTACAGCACCCGACGAACCGAGAGCACGACACCCCGACTCCGTCGACCGGTTTTTAAATACAAAATAATATATTTTTTTTAATGTAGGAATCAAATTTGTAAAAAAAAAAAAACAAAAAAAAAACCGAAACAAAAAGAAAGAGAAAAATAAAAAATAAAAAATTAAACATACAAAATGCATGGTTTTTGAGAGATTAGTTTTGATCCTTGAAGGTAATACCGTCATTATGTTCTTACATGGGAACTTGTTTTTGTATGGATGGCGGGAATGAAAGAAAAGAAACAGTTAAAGTCTCTAGGATCTAGGACTTTTCGGTCGGCGTAGCAAAACTTTATTTGATACAACAGTCAAATATTGTTTTACGATTATGCAAATTAGATTTTTAAAAATTCAGCAGTTGTAATGCAATGTTTGGTGGATTTTTACGGTTTTTTTTTTTTTTTTTTTAAATCAGTAACAATTCTTGATTGGAATGTACTTTGTCAATTTAAAAATGTAGCAAACTTTGTGAACATTTACGTCAAAATGTGAACTCACATAGTCGATACGTTTGGGAACTGATGAGTTTTGGATCGGATGTATTGGGGAACTCGTATGTTCTAGAGATCGAGTGTTCTAGAACTCGTGTGTTCTGTAACGTGTGTGTTATACATATGTTCTAGAAATCGCATGTTCTAGAACTCATGTGTTCTATGTATGTTATAGAACTCGTGTGTTCTATGTATGTTCAAGAACTCGTGTGTTGTATGTATGTTCTAGAACTCGTGTGTTCTATGTATGTTTTAGAACTCGTGTGTTCTATGTATGTTATAGAACTCGTGTGTTCTATGTATGTTATAGAACTCGTGTGTTCTATGTATGTTCTAGAACTCGTGTGTTCTATGTATGTTCTAGAACTCGTGTGTTCTATGTATGTTCTGGAGGTCGTGTGTTCTAGAACTCATGTGTTATATGTATATTCTAGAACTCGTGTGTTATAGATCTCATGTGTTCTAGAACTTGTATATTCTAGAACTCGTGTGTTCTAGAACTTGTATATTCTAGAACTCATGTGTTCTGGAACTCGTGTGTTCTAGAACTTGTATATTCTAGAACTTGTATATTCTAGAACTCGTGTGTTCTAGAACTTGTATATTCTAGAACTTGTATATTCTAGAACTCGTGTGTTCTAGAACTTGTATATTCTAGAACTTGTATATTCTAGAACTCGTGTGTTCTAGAACTTGTATATTCTAGAACTTGTATATTCTAGAACTCGTGTGTTCTAGAACTTGTATATTCTAGAGCTCATGTTTTCTAGAACTCATGTGTTCTGGAACCCATGCTGAGGCCAAAAGAACACCCCCACACCCCCACACCCCAGCGCCGAAGGTCTGTTCCAATTACTCCAAGCCTCAAGTCGTGAAAGAAAAGCGTTTCGCGCATACGTCTGCGTCGACAGACAGATCATATCAGGGTTTGGTGTCAGGAAGCGCTTTTTAACATGCACGGCGCATGCGTCAGTTTGATACAGCAGCCCCAGCATGCCTTTGTGTTTTTCCATTTATTACATCACACATCTGTGCTGCAAAACTCATCAACGTGTTGCATAATTTTTCTGGGATGGTGCAGTTTTAATGCAGTCGATATCGGAACATTATATATATATATATATATATATATATATATATATATATATATATATATATATATATATATATATATATATATATATATATATATATATATATATATATATATATATATATATATATATATATATATATATACACGCACGTAATAATAAGAATTGAGTTGTGACGATTTTTACCGGTAGCTAAAAGTTATTAAGTTTAGGCTTAAATTAATTTGAATTAATTGTGCGATTTAATTATTAATTATTTCACGAATTATTTTAAAGCGATATCTTTGTGAACTGTATCCAACAAAGTAGTTATATCTCCGTTGCTACTTTAGAATACGTAAAAACGTGTTGGTAATGAAACAACAAGTCTGCGGCGTATTTAGGTTTGAGTCGTATTTTAACTCACTCAAAGTAGGGAGGATGGCACTAGGAAAAAAGGAGATGGTGGGGGGAGGGAGGTGGGGGGCAGGTAGGTGCATACATATATTATGTACATTTCATACAACTTGACATAACCTTAACATACTTAATACAAACTTCACTGTAACCGGTTGTTTAAGGCGGTTTTGATTATTAAATTAAATCATTAAAATCGGCAAAATGATTGGTTTACATCAGGTACACTTTTGTATAACCTGTAAAGAATACCTATATATCCTAGGGTAACCACCTCACCTGTCTATGAAGCTTAGGGTAACCACCTCACCTGTACCTATAAAGCCTAGGGTAACCACCTCACCAGTCTATAAAGCCTTGGGTAACCACCTCACCTGTCTATAAAGCCTAGGGTAACCACCTCACCTGTACCTATAAAGCCTAGGGTAACCACCTCACCTGTACATAAAGCTTAGGGTAACCACCTCACCTGTACCTATAAAGCCTAGGGTAACCACCTCACCTGTACCTATAACGCCTAGGTTAACCACCTCACCTGTACCTATAAAGCCTAGGGTTACCACCTCACCTGTCTATAAAGCCTAGGGTAACCACCTCACCTGTACCTATAAAGCCTAGGGTAACCACCTCACCTGTACCTTTAAAGCCTAGGGTAACCACCTCACCTGTACCTATAACGCCTAGGGTAACCACCTCACCTGTACCTATAAAGCCTAGGGTAACCACCTCACCTGTACCTATAAAGCCTAAGGTAACCACCTCACCTGTACCTATAAAGCCTAGGGTAACCACCTCACCTGTACCTATAAAGCCTAGGGTAACCACCTCACCTGTACCTATAACGCCTAGGTTAACCACCTCACCTGTACCTATAAAGCCTAGGGTAACCACCTCACCTGTACCTATAACGCCTAGGTTAACCACCTCACCTGTACCTATAAAGCCTAGGGTAACCACCTCACCTGTACCTATAAAGACTAGGGTAACCATCTCACCTGTACCTATAAAGCCTAGGGTAACCACATAACCTGTCTATAAAGCCTAGGGTAACCACCTCACCTGTACCTATAAAGCCTAGGGTAACCACCTCACCTGTACCTATAAAGCCTAGGGTAACCACCTCACCTGTACATAAAGCTTAGGGTAACCACCTCACCTGTACCTATAAAGACTAGGGTAACCATCTCACCTGTACCTATAAAGCCTAGGGTAACCACATAACCTGTCTATAAAGCCTAGGGTAACCACCTCACCTGTACCTATAAAGCCTAAGGTAACCACCTCACCTGTACCTATAAAGCCTAGGGTAACCACCTCACCTGTACCTATAAAGCCTAAGGTAACCACCTCACCTGTCTATAAAGCCTAGGGTAACCACCTCACCTGTACCTATAAAGCCTAAGGTAACCATCTCACCTGCCGACCGGCACGAAAGTTGTGACGATTCATCATGGCTTTCTTGGAGCCCTTGTCTTTTCCCTTCTTGTTTGTGAGCGTGGCGTCGGTGAACGTCTCCCCGAACAGCAGCCCAAACTGGACGTCGTCGCCACAACCTCCCCACTGCAACAGGTTTAGACAAGGTTTAGGGCAACATCTTTACAGGTTTAGACAAGGCTCATGTATAGTTTAGGACAGGACAGCTGGTTACTGTGTTGTCTAAAAACATCTGGCCAATAAGTTTTAAAAATAACTGGCCACAGTATTTTTAAATGACTTTTAATATATATATATATATATATATATATATATATATATATATATATATATATATATATATATATATATATATATATAATATATATTTTTATATTTTAGTATTTTTAATATATGGTCTAATAAAGGGAACAATATATTATTTAATAAAAAAAGGTACTTTATATTTTAATAATTCAACAACATATTTACTTAGCTGGCCACTGTACATTTACATAACTGGCCTTTATATTTAAAATTTAACTGGCAACTTTCGCTTTCAACTAAGATCCTGACCTTAAAAGTATCTGACGGTGATGTTGTTGGCAGGGCCCCACAGCTACACTTGGTGGTGACGCCTATGCTACAGGCCCGGGATATGGAATGGACAAGCGCAGACGACGAGATCCCGTACACATAGGCTTGTTCTCTTGTACCTGGTGGATGTAAGGGGTTCGTTGGTCAGTGAATCGTGGGAAATGTAATGGATTCATAGGGTCAGTGGAATATGGAAAATATAATGGGTTCATTTGGTCAGTGCAGTATGGGAAATATAATGGGATCAGTTACTTAATCGTAAAATTTGTAAAATGTAATGGGTATAGTTAATTAATTATCCATCGAAGTTTTGAAAATATAATAGGTACAGTTAATTAATTACACATTGTAGTTAGGAAAACTTAATAGGTACAGTTAAGTAATTATCCTTTGAAATTTGGAGAATTTAATGGGCATAATTATTAATGAGATGGATAGGTCATATTATGTTGGGGAAACGGGCAACTAGCATTGGCAGACAAGGCATATCATGGAATCCACAGAAAGTAGACCCAAAAACACATTGCGCTGAAATATTGTAAAACAACATTAAATTTGTGAAAAAGAAAGAATTGGAAAACTTAGCTAATGACAGAAAAACGTGAGATAATGTTGTAGATGACATGTTCTCCACTGGGTGATGCAAAAAGGCGATGGAGAAGAAGACATTTAATCAATCATTAAAATATGGAAAATATAATGAGGTGTATGAAATAATATGGGTATAGCAATGTCGTTGGAGCAATATTGGGAACAACAATGATGGGTCTACCCGAACTTTAACAAATGTGAAGATGTAGTTAACTTTAGGTCACAGAAGTTGCTTGCTTATAACGTGGCCATTTGCTACCCCTTCCCCCAAAGGCCATGGTCATATTATAGTGTGGCCACATGGCCATGTTTCACACGGGGGCCGCTAATATTCTCTGGCCAACTAGTTTTTGTCCAAAAGATTCGCACTCCCGTTGTAATGTTTCTTAGGCTCAATGCATGATACCAACACCCCAACACAAACACGACAAATTAACAATCAATGAACTGGCTCCTACATTCCAATCTGGCAAGTCGGTTATTCACCCACCAGATTAACAGAAATAAAATGTATCAGATAGAAAGCAGCCTGGCCAGATACAGCGTCGGTCATTTAAATGCCAAACCGATTTCACTGTAGAGCGCGGAGTAAGGAAACAATGGGCGACTCAAATTTCGGCCTAGGTTCAAGGTCTCGCAATGGAAGGTCCCAACTTGTTCTATGTAAGATTTTTAAACAATATTTTATTTTTTGTTTGTTTGTGGAAATTTGGAACATCTCATATTTTGTAGAGACTTGGGTACACATCTTACGTTTTCTGAGACATTTGATATAGTTCAGTAGGCTACACATTACACTTTTCTGAGAATTTGATATAGGTTAGTAGGCTACACATTACACTTTTCTGAGAATTTGGTATAGGCTAGTAGGCTATATATTACATTTTTCTGAGAATTTGATATAGGTTAGTAGGCTACACATTACACTTTTCTGAGACTTTGATATAGGTTAGTAGGCTAAAAATTACACTTTTCTGAGGCTTTGATACATATGCTACTTTTGAAAAGTGTTACGTGCTAAAAATGTGTTCTTTGTTAGCATTTTGTTCTTGGTTGACATTTGTTCTAGACATTTTTTCTAGGTATTTGTTCCAGATTTTTGTTCTGTGCTAGACATTTGTTCTAGTCATTTGTTCTAGATATTTGTTCCAGACATTTGTTCTAGATATTTGTTCTATGCTAGACATTTGTTCTTTGACAGAAATAATTGTCAACTCTCTGTACCTAGCCGTACAGATCAAGACGACAAACATCAGCGTAGAATACACTTACGTTGAGATTATGTCTATGGCTCTTACAACATATATAATGTTATGTGAAGTACTTCCAACCCAATATATGTAGTGTTATGTGAAGTGCGCCTATCCCCTATCCTGTATTTTTAGCTACTGTACTGTTTATCAGAAGAGGTACGGCAATTCACATCTGAACGTAAAGTATTAAAAAAAAAACCAGCGACGAGATACGAAAGAAATGGAGTAATTAGGTTTGTTTTTTTTGTCTATACATTTGGTTTGTTATAGTTTGGCAAATGTTAATTTTTTTCTCTTGATTGTTTTTAAGCGTGGGAGTGTAGATTAGAGACGGCATTTGACAAATTTAGACCTGACTTGTAGGAAAACATAGCGAGGAATTTCAAGAAAAATAAATTTAAAAATGAAGGAAAACAAAGAAGAATGGAAAATAATGGGAGGAGAGGGGGGGGGGGGAAGGGGAGAAAGGGGAATTCCCACGTCTTTCAACTAAAAAGTTTTTCATTAACTGATCGAGGCGGGGCTAGATTGTGGTAACTTGGTGTGTGTGTGTGGGGGGGGGGGGTGGCTATTTCGTCAGTAATCGGTGGGGGGGGGGGGGGAGGTAGCTATTTCGTCAGTAATCGTAACATTCCAACGTGTCGTGGGCGGCGTCAACACAAATAAAAACGTGTCGAAAAGGCTACACACCTGTGTGTGTGTGGGGGGGGGGGGTCATGCTCTTCCGTTTTAGACCTGACCGTTCCTGTGGCAGGTAAAGTAGAGTTTGTATGTTGTTTTGACCATATGTGGTCAGTACTCGTATGGTCAGCATCATGTGTGGTCAACATTGTGTTTGATCAACATCTTGAGGTCAGTATCATATGTGGTCAACATCATATGTGGTCAACATCTTGAGGTCAACATCATACGTGGTCAATATCTTGAGATCAACATTATGTGTGGTCAACATCATGTGTGGTCAACATCTTGAGGTCAACATCTTGAGGTCAACATCTTGTGTGGTCAACATCTTGTGTGGTCAACATCTTGGGGTCAACATCGTGAGGTAGACATTATGTGTGGTCAACATTATGTGTGGTCAACATCATGTGTGGTCAACATCTTGAGGTCAACATCTTGAGGTCAACATCTTGTGTGGTCAACATCATGTGTGGTCAACATCGTGAGGTCGAGTCTTTTTCGGGCAAGCAGTCGTGTGCACCTCCACACACCCACTCCGTCCAACAGTTTGTATAATTTCTAACATTAAAACGCTAATCACTTCCGTTATTTCTGTTTAAAAACATGAGCTAGACGCAAGCCAAGTGTGGTTTATTAACTGGACACCAATCCCTCTGACCGTCCACACGAATCCATCTGACTGTCCACGCGAATTCGTGTGACCGTCGACACGAATCCATCTGACCGTCCACACGAATTCATCTGACAGTCCACACGAATTCATCTGACCGTCCACACGAATCCATCTGACCGTCCACACGAATCCATCTGACCGTCCACACTAATCCATCTGACCGTCCACACTAATCCATCTGACCGTCCACACGAATCCATCTGACCGTCCACACGAATCCATCTGACCGTCCACACGAATCCGTCTGACCGTCCACACGAATTCATCTGACCGTCCACACGAATTCATCTGACCGTCCACACGAATTCATCTGACCGTCCACATGAATCCATCTGACCGTCCACACGAATCCATCTGACCGTCCACACGAATCCATCTGACCGTCCACACGAATCCATCTGACCGTCCACACGAATCCATCTGACCGTCCACACGAATTCATCTGACCGTCCACACGAATCCATCAGACCGTCCACACGAATCCATCTGACCGTCCACACGAATTTGTGTGACCGTCCACACGAATTCATCTGACCGTCCACACGAATCCATCTGACCGTCCACACGAATCCATCTGACCGTCCACATGAATCCACCTGACCGTCCACACGAATTCATCTGACCGTCCACACGAATCCATCTGACCGTCCACACGAATCCATCTGACCGTCCACATGAATCCACCTGACCGTCCACACGAATCCATCTGACCGTCCTCACGAATCCATCTGACTGTCCACACGAATCCATCTGACCGTCCACACTAATCCATCTGACCGTCCACACTAATCCATCTGACCGTCCACACGAATTTGTGTGACCGTCCACACGAATCCATCTGACCGTCCACACGAATCCATCTGACCGTCCACGCCAATCCATCAGACCGTCCACACGAATCCATCTGACCGTCCACACGAATCCACCTGACCGTCCACACGAATCCATCTGACCGTCCACACGAATTCATCTGACCGTCCACACGAATCCATCTGACCGTCCACACGAATCCATCTGACCGTCCACACAAATCCATTTGACCGTCCACGCCAATCCATCTGACCGTCCACACGAATTCATCTGACCGTCCACACGAATCCCTCTGACCGTCCACACGAATCCATCTGACCGTCCACACGAATCTATCTGACCGTCCACACGAATCCATCTGACCGTCCACACGAATCCATCTGACCGTCCACACGAATTCATCTGACCGTCCACACGAATCCATCTGACCGTCCACACGAATCCATCTGACCGTCCACACGAATTCATCTGACCGTCCACACGAATCCCTCTGACCGTCCACACGAATCCATCTGACCGTCCACACGAATCCATCTGACCGTCCACACGAATCCATCTGACCGTCCACATGAATCCACCTGACCGTCCACACGAATCCATCTGACCGTCCACACGATGAAAAATGGCGTCAACTTGTTTACTTCCGGAATTGATGTCAACTTTCTTTCATAGTTTTTAGTGTTTTTATTCACTATTTAATCCAAAAAAATCTAAGGGAAGTACTACTCATCCATTAGGGTTGAGAATGTAGTTTAGTACTAATTTACTAGCCGGTTCTTATTGTGATATTTTAAGTTTTTATTTTATTGTCTCATCCATTGTTAAAATGTAAACCGGATATCTATATTCTTAGTTGTTGTAGATCTACTGATGATTCGTTTTCTTTTTCATCTATTTCTACTGATGTCAGCATGATATTTTAATTTTACTGGTGAGTGAAAATGTTAGGGACTGGTGTTGTCACCAGAAGCAGCAGAGCTAAGAAGTATCGTTTAAATAAAGAAAAAGCGATATCAAAAAAGATTGCTAACATTTGTGCAGCGGATGATATTCATTTTCAAAAGAAAGATGGAGGACAATGCGTTATCATTGCCTTTAGAAACTCAAT